TATATATGTTATTGTACATTCAGAGGACTGTTTAAGCAGTCCGAGACTCAATTACATGCATGCACACACTCACACCCACATAAAACGTAGGTAGAGGAATACAGTATGTGCATGGAATGTACACACACACGCACACACACACACACACAAAAACAATATATAGGTCAGGATAGCACAAAAGGCCCTTAATTCAATGTCAATGTCTCAAGTGTCACTCATTGCAGAGTGGGCTTCAATTTAGAGTCCACGCCAGGATTTGCGGCTGACCATTGTCATGTCACCCAGTCAGTTAAAGCCTGACCTAAATCCTAAAACCAGACTGAGCAACTCCCCCCACCATCTCCCTTCTTCCATTCTCTGCTCCCCCAAAATGGACCAAAGAGGCGAATGCTCCGGAGATTTTTGCCAGGTTGTTGCCATTACACTGCCTAAAAGGACAGTTGAGATGCAGTACTGATATGTACACATGATTGTACGAAGTATAGTCGTACCAGACTATGGCCACACTGGATAAAAAATATTTGAAGACTAAAGACACAATAAAGTCAAAATTACGAGTCATAATATTACAAGAATGGAAGTAAAAATCTGACAATTTATTCCTTTAATTTTCATGTAAAAATGTGATACTGAAAGAGTAATCTTGCAATTCTACATCAGGTTTTTATGAGTGACAGTAAAAATCAGCACACAATGTCTTTCTCTTTAGAGACCTGCCATACAATAACCATTAGCTACTAGTTAAAAACATGACTGGTTTATGGCCCAACATATTTTGTGATGTAATATTGAACATTCGTTGCAGTTTGACTGTCTTACTTAATTCTTAGATGTTATAATTTGCTTTTCTGCGTGGCTCTTTCTACTTTGAAATGGTAGAAGGACTGATATTTGCAGTCGATGTTTGGGATTCTTCATTTAGTTACCTGGCTTTTTTGCTTTGCGATTCTGCACCTGTATCACGTGACAAAGGACACAGAGGAGGAGTGCTACTTCTGTTTCAGTTTGTGTGTGTGTGCGTGTGTGTGTGTGCGCATGTTGAGTGCGTGTGACACATGGTACAGAGCCATGATTGCGGTTGTTCCACTCCAGCAGTAATGATCCCCCCTGTGCGACGAGCAGCTCTCTATAACGTTCATCAATTAACATCCTTCACGCATACACCTACTGCCTCTTTCATGCAACATTTACAGCAACAGTCAGTTATTGCCAAAACTCAACATGATTAGTCAGGGGACAGTTGTTGGAATCAAGAGCCTTTCTTAAATGCTCTCTGCGCAGGCTGTCAAGTCTGAAAATAACTTTATTACATCTGTAGCCTGTTGATGTGCATTTGTTATTCAGTAGGGACATGAAACGCAGCAAGGACAGGCTTTCTGAAAACTGTGCCCTTTGGCAAGCCCTCAAGCTTGAATTTAATTTATTGAAACATTACTTCGCTACAGTTTGAGGTTAATTAAATCTATTTCAAACCATTTCGCGATATCTAATTTGCAACTTTTCTTTACTTCCAAAATGGTCAGAGTCGTGTCAGGAATTGAAACACGATCTCGTCTCCCCAAGTTTGTTCTTAATTAGTAGATGTAACCGCTCAGGTTTCACTGTTGGTGTCATTGTGAATTAACCACGCCATGCCTGGTTTCTGCTTTACCCAGTGTGCCATTCTGACACTGACATCCTCTCTTACTCCTTCAAATGTCCACGTTGGTTGTTGGACATGCAGACTTGCAGACAGGAAATGGAACTCCAATCTGTGTAAACTCAAAGCCAGGCGGATACCCAAGTGCTCGATAGGATCAAATATAAGATGGTGTCAAATTAAATTAGCCCTTTCCGTTGCATTGATGCTTAAATCATGACATTTTCTAAGAATTTGTAGAAGGCCGGTGATTGAAAATGAACATGTCTTCCTCTCACATGCTCTCATGAAAGACAGACCAAGAGCAGCAATTTTTGGAGGTCTCATATTTTGAGAGTTTTGCCTCAGAAAGCTGAAGATACAAATATCTGAATAAAATATGTAAACTGGCTGAAGACTATGACAAATGCATACCAGCTAAATATCTTCACAGGGAAAACAATTACAGGCAAGAGTAATGGCTCTTCAATTAAGGTCAACAATTGGAGAGCGAGAGATACGGAGAAAAGGGAGAGAGCCAGGCGTTTTTGTAACTTGGTAGTATACTGGTTAACACGGATAACGTTTGTGCATAATAACTCCTGCTCAATCCCATTTTTGCGATCAACAGGCAAGGACACAGAGATCACCTGGCTCACAATGTCTGTTGTAGCTCATCACAAAAAAGTTCTTCCACACCACAATTGTACAATGATTAATTATGTGATGAAGAAATTGGTCACATTTGTGGACACAACAGTCCCTCACCCAAACGAGACACTTCCATTAAAGCTGCCCAGACAGCATGCCTTGCATCACGGAAACATTTCATTAAACTTATTTAATTGCAACCCACGAGCACACACACTTGTACCTTATCTCTCAATATAGACGCATTGTACCCCCTGTCATCCAATTCAGGCTTCAATCCTCACTCGCCATGCCGTAGTTTACATTACCGGTAACTCAATTATGCGGTAGCGTATACCAGTTTGAAAGCTGTTGGAAAATTGAGGACACACTCAATGTTAATTGTCAGATTGTAACTCAAAAGAATCATCACCTGTAAGCCATCTAAAAATTCAGAGTCATATGAATGAAATCTAGGGCCAGCGGCATATGTGCAAAACGGTCTCCGGTTAAGTTTGTGTCTCCTTATTTTTGAAGCGGGCTGGTAAAACAGTATGCATGGCGTGAATAAACACAAAATAAGCTATCATTTATCATTTTTGCAAGGTGTCCACGAACCTCCACAAAAGACAAATAGATTGAGGTCCGGCCTCATTATCGTCACTGGAACCCAAGAGATGCCAGTACACGCTGCAGTGCAGGCAAGCATGATTATTGATGGTTGTGATTACATCTCGCCATCCATTCCTTCCCATTTTCTATCCCCCCTGCTGCTCGAGAAGGGTTGTGCAGAGTGATCGGCAACTAATGAGGCGGGCATGGTTAGTTAGGTCAAGCGTGGCATGGGATGTTTGTGTCTCAGTGTGAGTGTGTCTATGCGGTTGTGTGTGAATTGGCATAACGACAACAGACCGACGGACTGCAGCTGGATCGCTTCCCTGAAGGCTGTGATACTTCAACCCCTCCCTCCCTTCCTGCAAGTTTCCTCTCTTTTTGTGCGCTACACCCGATTGCTTCAAGATGAGTTTGGTTTCACTGTCTATCCCTCCGAGCCAACATAATCCAGACTTCCTTTACTTTTGAGTGCAAATGTACGTGCCCTGTTTGTGTGGACTAATCTGCAATGGCAAGTGTAAACAGATGCCACAATACTCACGTATACACACAGAAACCCACACATGGATGTTTTATTCTCCTCCACCTCCCAACACATACAAACATGCACCGCAAATGAAATGCAACTGCTGTGTACGAGTTAACTTCCCGTACAGAATAAATAGTGTCTCTCTAACATTTGTGGCCATGTGAATCAAACATTCTTTGGTCTGTGCGGTGAATCCTCTGTGAGGTTAAAGGTTTGTATTCCTCCAGCTGTAAATCTGAACAGCAGTTGTTAGCATAGCACTGACATTTTGCAAGGAAGATTTAGAGCTTTGGCAGCCTTTATATTTTCTAACCCCTCCAATGTCCTCCACAGTGATTCTGAGTTAAATGCTACTTACACTATTTACTGTAAGCTCTCCTCATTCAATGTACTGTAATCTAGGGGTGAAAAATGACAGCGAACACATACCATTTTGTATTCTTAAATTTCTTGCTTTAATCCCCCTGCCTTTTTTTAAATTTTCCTTCTGCGTTTGATTAATCTGCTGCACTTAGTGGGGTTCATTCTTATTTAAATGCTCATTGATTTTGTTCCAGGCTCTGAGGGGCTTTGTCTTTTTCCCTGTAAGCTCTAGGTGGCAGTAGATACTTACAAGCCACGCTTTGGCTCATAAAGGGGTTTATTAAGGAATAATTAGAATGATATATGGAACTGTCTGCGTCTATCCACATCCATTTTCCTCGAAAATGACTATTTCATAGAATAAGTATCAAATTAGGGCTGCGCATGCCTTATATATGGAGCACGTGAAAACACACCTCAGCATTTAGTCATTAATCATCATGCGTGGTAACGCCACTGACAGTATGACTATGTGCATGTCATTGAGGCAGAAGATAAATACTGCATGCAAACAGTAGTCAGAAAGTTGTTGTTTGTGAATGTATTGGATGTTTAGAAGAAACATATATTTTGTCCCAACTCTAACTAAATATTACCATCTTGATATATCTTATCAATATATCTCACCATTGTGGGCGCTTACTTTTAAAATATAAGATAGATGATAAAGTTA